TTTCTTGCTCCTGGGAATAAAGCATTTCATGCCAAAGGGCTCGCTCAGGGCAGCCTGACCCAGCAATGTGCACAGTTAGGGATAAACACAGCAGAAAAGGGTACACTTACAGTTAGGAAAGTCCATTTCCAAGAGCTTCCTTGGCCTGAAAGAGAAGGAAACGCCACCTGTCACCACCCTGCAGATGGGCTGTCCTCCTTCCCAGGAGCCCATTTGTGCTGTACCAGGACACCCCACAGGTGCTGCACTGAGACCCATGGCATTGCTGTACTGACCCCACGTGTCTAGAGGAGCCAGCACCAGCTAAGATGTACCCAGTAGACCCGACCGGAGCTAGCTAAAAGGGCACATTCTCCCTCACCCCGTGGGGGAGGCTGGGGGTCCCTGCAGCTCACCTTCATGGGAATGGTGCATGAGTGCGTTCTCCGGATGAGCCTCTTGGATGTGGGGTGAGTCCAGCTCCGGCTTCTCCGTCCACCGTCTTGGCCTGGAGGGTCCAAGGAAAAGGGACCCAGGCTCATTATGCCCAGTGGGGAGGTAAGAAGGAAAGGAAGGCCCTACTGGGCCTCTGTGGAGGTTGCTTGACTCCTCCCCATGCCGTAGGGGTGCCATTGCAACGGCCCCCTGCTTTACAGATGGAGCGCTGGGGGCCCAGGCCAGGTGAGCAGATGAGAGGAATCACAGACAGGTGTCCTTGGGATCTTGTCCCCAGCCCGCCTCACCGGATGCTGACTGCCTCTGCTGTCTTGTAGTGGCGTGGACGTGAGAGACAGGGGAGTCTCTGGTGCTCTCGATCAACATCAGGGAGAGAGCACTAGGGCAGAGGGACAAGGCGTCATACGCAAGGGGCCTGGGTTGGGGGGGGCGTGTGGGGCAGAGAAGGAGCTGGGGGAAGGAGATGGGGGGGCCTGGTTACCGGGATGTGACCCTTGTACACAATAGTGGATCGCCCCGCTTCTTGGGATGAGGCGTGTTTTGTCAAAGAGGAAGAAGTCCTCTCGGCGCACGCGATGCACGCGGAATGTGCCCTCGCAGGACGAGCCCCATAGATGCGCAGGTGCTGGCCCCTTCCAGCTTGATGAGCAGCGGGGATGATCCTCTGCAGGGCAGAAAGAGGGCCCAGACCCCCAGGGTCAGGCTGCCGGGCCCTGGAGGCTCATCCCAGACCCAAAGACCATCCCTGGGCTCGTTCCCACCGGGTGGCCCAGTCCCTCTCTCCCCAGCCCTGGCCCACTGGCCCCTGCACTCCTCCCAAACCCCAGCACCTGCAGGCGACCGCCGTGCTCGTGGCCTCCTTTCATGTCATGATGTACCAGGCCACACAGGTCCATGGTGTCAATGGCACATCCTTCCACCACCTCAAAAGCCGTCCTCTTCTTCATCAAAACGTGTTGCATATTTCCTACACAGAAAGACAGAGGTTAAGGTGAGCCTGACCCAAAGCCCCACCCCTTCCCAACCCATGTGCTGAGCGTGGGGGAACCTTGGGCCACCTGGAGCAGGCAGGTGGTACTTGAGTATGCGCTGGGGACTGGCTTCAGCAGGTGAGGGGGCCAAGGCAGCGAGTGCTGCAGCCACCTCCTTTGCCGGTCCCGCGAAGAATCTTGGGCCTGCTGCTTGTCCGCATTGCACTCTGGTCAGGGCGCCACGAGCTGCGAGGGAAGAAGGCGTGTCACACCTGGGGAAGCCTGGATGAGGACAGGGACTCTGCGGCTCCCCAAATGCTCTGCTTCCCAATACCCTAATTACTCACTTGGGTAGTTGTTGCAATACTTGTGTGTAGATATCAAACTCTTGGCTTCTAAGGAGAACCATAAAATAAGTGATTTTGGGGCGAGATTCCCGTCTTGATTGTAAGGACATGGTGCCACACTAGACCCCTGGCCTGCACCAGCACACTGCTGTCCGCTTCCCCGGAGTCCTGCAGATCCATCTTTGCTACCCATCCTGTCTAGGACATCCGTCACCTGCAGCCCTGGCTGTGCCCCAAACACACTCTTCACCAGAAGGCGTAGGTACGCCCTGCACTCCCCTGGAAGGACCAAGGCCTTCTTACCCTTTCCACAAGCAGCTGCCACAGCCACGGGGTCACTATTCAGCTGCTCCAGGGTCTCGTGAGTAGGCTGGCTGGTGGGAGGGAGAGCGCTGTTGTACCCTCTGCAGTCAGCTTGAGGGCCCACTGCAAACCTCATGCCCAGACCCCTCACGCAAGCTGCATGCCACAGAGCCCGGGGCTTCCGGCTCCAGAGTTCAGCCCTTGCCCCAGGCAGCAACCACAGAAAAGAACACACCTCCACAAAGTCAGGAAGCCAGGAGACCCACAGGCTCGCGACAAGCCAGGAGGACTGGGGGCCCATACCCACCTTGGGAGGGACCAGCTCCTCTGGCGGGCGAAGGAGTCAAACACACAGAAGCAGAGATTAAAGGGGAACAAAAAAAGAAAGGGGACTAGTGAAGGAACCAAGGGCTCCCAGATCAGAAGGATGCAGGGGAGGGACAGAAGAGAAGTGGAGTCCTGAGACCTTGTTTTTAGTGGGTCGCTGCTCTAGGAAACTCTAGTAAACAGTGCTTCCCTGCCTCTCCTCCATCTGTGCTCCCCACTTTTCCCAACCCCTCACTCTGGCCTAAGTCTTCCTGTGCCTGCCCCTCCCAGACTCTTCCCCCTTACACAGCGGGACGTCCCTCTGTCCTACTCTTAGGGGGTAAGAACCCTCCTGTCCTGCCAATGCTGGGCCCCTCAAGCTCTGCTCTGCCTGCCACTGTCCTTTCCCTGGGGAGTCTGTTGTGGTCCAAGGCAGCAGACCTGGGCCCTGAAGAAGTTCCCTTTGTCCTGGAACGCCCCTGGCCAGGCTTGTTCAAGCCTCCCCATCAGTTCTTGCTGGCCTGTGCATTCACTAAAGGTCAGTTCATCTCCGGGAGCCCCCGCTCCTTTGGAGTCAGTGGGAAGGAGGGAAAAAAATTAATAGACAGGCATGTGTGGAAGGAACGATGAGGAGGACAAAGGCGCCACCCATTAGAACAGGCAGTCGTGCAAAGGGTCCCGCAGGTCCCAAGACGGCCACTGCCGGCTGGCCCAACACGCACACGCCTCAAATCATCTCCCCCCACC